TAAGTGCTTAAAAGTAACCACGTAGTTCTCTATTGTCCCGTGTACCCCCAGACTTTACCAGTACTAGCACGTTAACCTAGCCTTACTACGTCATAGCTACGACTATAAAACAGGCGAGCTGTCCCCGGACATCACCGAGCAGGCCGAGCAATGTTTACGGAACGTAGCGTCTGCGCTCTCCGAAGCAGGGGCGACCATCGAAGACGTCGTGCGCGTCACGTATATGGTGCCCGAGCGCGAGGCCTTCCCGAGAGTCTGGCCTGTGCTCAGGAAGTGGTTTGGACACGCCCGCCCGGCTGCTACGATGGTCTCTGCTGGTCTCATGAAAGACGAGATGAAGATCGAGATTGAAGTTACCGCTGTCAAGGGGTCGGCCAAGAAAAAGGAGGAAGCGTGAGGCGAGGGGTTAGAACGGAGGGTGAGGGGGAAGAAGAGCACAACCACTAGGCTAGGACGAAATGTCGAGCACCCGACACCCGCGAACTAGCGGTAGTCAGCAGCTCCAACTGAGTAGGGCATCAGCTGCGCTGCTACACTACTGCGGGATTGATCAATGGAATCGAAGGATGCGCGCCTACGGCATTGGTATAGCATTGCATGGCGTGGCATGGCATAATATTTGCATTCCTTTTCAAAGCAATCCAAGTCGTGGTTTTCGGCGACCGTGTATCATTGGAGAGAAAACTAAGGAACAGGAGGGGATTTGCTGGGCGTCGGCGACTAGCCCAGGTTAGTCAGTCAGTCAGTCTATTTAAAGCCTTGGAACAACATGCCACCTCATGTCGTGCATGATATGTCATAATGTCATAATACCCAGTAAGCTCAGGTACCCAAGAAGATGGATGGTCGAGTCAAGAGCTGGCATATTCCGTACATCCTTCCTCTGACCATGAGCATCCTATATGACGAGGCAGAATATATGACGAGGCAGAATTCGCTTACAAAGGCACACTAGGTAAGACACACACACACTAGGTAAGGCACACTGACTGGGTCAGGCACACTAGAGCAGGCACCTGGCTTACAGTACATTTATTGCATTGCATTGCATGGCGTGGCATAGAGCAATCCATCAAATTTCCAGCTCCGCAGGATCCGGTGTTTCAACGACAGCCGCCGAATTTCCAAAACAGTGGAGCCCGATGTCCGAGTCCGTTCTTAGATAGGTCAGTCAGACCGGGCGGTCTTATTTAGTGTGCTTCTTGTTGGTCGCCGAATCCGGCGGCGCTTCCCATTTGGCCATCAGCAAGTAGGCTTTTCTCTCTCTCTCTCTCTCTCTGTCTCTCTCACTTATCATATACCCCCAGCGTAATTTGTAACCTAGACTGCCGGGGCACTATGATATATCGACGAAGGCTATCAACTCTGAGTTGGTCACCAAGATAGAGACGTAAGTATTATTAGCTAGAACATGCGTTAGATAGGTGGTAAATGTCAATATCATAATATCCTTCACAATACGTAATAACGACTATAGGTTTCGTCGGTGAAGTGAGCTTGTTTATTCGTTGAATCATTCGTCTACTTTCTGGTTTTTTCTTTTTCTTTCTTGCTCTCTTTTTTCTTATATCAATGCCGCTGTGCCTAACGCCCCAGCAAACATGGCAGCGACAGACACAAAACTTGAGATTGAGAGCAACGAGATGCCGGTAATACCGTGGCCTGATGTACAGCCACCTCCAATCCTCGAGCCCAGCGCAAGTAATACACCTCCAAGGACCAGCCTAGTGGTCCCAATATCAACGCTTGGGAATATTTGGGGAAGGGGGCTTACCAAGGAAAGTCCTAAAGCCCCGATCATCATGCCCGTAACAACGGCTATAGAATTGTAAGACCTAGGTTTACCGTCACCGCCCCCCCTTAGCAACCACGAGATGTAATCTCCAAATTCCTCGAATGATGCGGATGTCCCAAGTAGCGTCTTCCGAATCAAAGCGGAAAAGAGTTGAGCACCCGCGACCAAGAAGCCACCAAGGACTGGACCAATAAGGCCCTGTGTCTTCACAAGTCGGAGGGTAGATATTGTAGCCACAGCTCCAGCAAACATGACCTCGACGCCGATGAAGGCTACAGTTTGGCTCGTCCCGAGTGCCCCATGGATGGTTAAATCCTCGGGCTTCGGGGGTGCTTGTCGGCTTTTGGATTTAAGTGACGCGAGAGCGGATCGAAGGAAACCAGACCAGACGATACCGCCGAGTATGGAGCCTCCCAGCGTATAAATACCCGAACGCACACCAGTTCCAACTTGCACAAATACAGTCCCAGGGCAGGATCCGGCAAGCGTCATGCCAATGCCGAGCAAACACCCTCCGATAATGTTGCCGTCGAGAGGCCCGAAGAGGCCCAGGGATGAGTAGCCACGAGGGCTGGCGTGTAGATAGCCTAATTTCTGGCACAACGTAACGACGAGCCTGGATATTCATCGAATGGTTAATAGAGTGAAGCGAGTTTCCGGCTGTTTTATTGGTAGTGATGATATACCTATATAAAGCAAGGAAAGGAAACAAAAGCTCTGATTAAATGGATATAAACAGGGGGACTTAATGAGGTACCGAGGAAGACGACCTATAGAATAGTTTCCATCCTACTTACGTGCTTGCTGCGGATCCGGTGAGGAATGTTTGCACCATGTGCCAGTTGTCGAGCCTCATCTGCGAGATGATAACAGTCGGTTGGTACATGCCCGTGGCGGCCAGCGCGGCACCAAAGGCGGCACCGGAGATGAGGGATTCCAACATCGCAACCGGTTTCGAGGATATCTGTTACCCTTTTCGATCCGTTTGTCGGCTTGGTAGTATGCACTCTAATTTGGAGACGAAAAATTGGTGTTTCTTTGCGCCCATTGGCAGTAATGGTGTCTTCCGCTCAACCGTCCACTCTATGACTTATATCCCAAATAGGTAAATGCCTCCTTTTATATATGTTTATTTCGAACCTTGGGGGTTTCGGGGACCAAACCGCCCCCCCGTCGCTGACGAGTGGATAGGAAACTTGCCAGAGTCACCGCGAGATAATTAGGTCCAGGGCGGCGGCGGTCACCATGACCAAGGACATCTATAAAGGCAAACGATATTCACAGTATTATTATTATTCCTCATGGCGGATCCACATGGCGAATATGGCGATTAATGTAGTTTTAGACCCTTTGGGTCAAGCGTGCTCCTTCGTTCGGAGCACGACTAATCGTTGAAAGAGTTGTGATACGGAGAGAAGGACTTAGGACGAAGGCTAATTAATACCTACGTTAGGATTTGCCATAGGCGTTTGTTGGGTTCGCCGGCTTCTTGGCCGGGATGCTCGCTAGTGTGGACTAGGCAAAGGGAGGGTCGCCGACTTCATCCCAGTGCCCCCCAGAGACCCCCGAACACCCTTTTCCTAATCGACTGGCCCGCATCTGTTGTCGACGTAACCCGCCTTGGCCTCGGGGGGGAAACAAAGCTTTCTTTACTGCTATGTAGGCGTATGTCAGGGTTCGAAGCTAAACCTATAATGACAGTTTCCATGTAACCGTCCTCCGGAGGTCCCTTCTGCCGGCTCTACTACCCGCCAGATAGCCTCTACAATCCCAGAATATCTAAAAGTCAACGAAGGTCGCAGTATTGGCCAAATATGCTTATACAATACTACACCTTTGGCAAGATAGACCTCCTTACAAGGTATCGATTGTTTAGCTGTAATATGCGGCTTCAATTAGTTCAATATATAGCCTCAGCTGTGTGTCGCATACGAGAAAAATGAGAAACACGACAACAATGGAGAGCATGAGCCTATATTCTGTACTTACGCACGCGTATAGAATCTGGCCACTCTATGTAGAATAGGTCTGGCTTCCTGCTTCGGAAAGTGAGACATCATTTTCCCTAAATCGGGGCGGCGTAGCCCTACGACCATATATTATCAGCTATGTCCCACGCCCACGCCTCAAACGGTGTCACGCAAGCTTGTGGGACGGTATTCAATATTGGCACACACACATACACACACAAACAAGAAAGCACCCATGGGACTTGGAATCTTGGTTCTGGTATAACGTTCTTGATGATAACGTTCTTATGACTCCCTCGCGCTGGGGGGTGTGTACGGTACCTGGTCTAGGTCGTGAACGGGGTGTCTCGTCTGGGGATCATGCATAAAAAGAAATTACTTAAAAATGGAACCTTCCGAATCATCGGGATTCATTATTCGACATCGCCTTGATCTCTCTTATCGTCATTACTCAGGTATTTTTGTTAGTATTATTATTATTATAATTATTATTACATTGCTCGCCGAGACACTCCCACGGTAAAGGACGGCGACCATCGAACTCAGCGAGTAAGCCCGGTCAGTAAACCCGGTGGCTCGGCGTTTTCGCTGTCTAACCTAGACAGACTACCTCACCCTAGGCTTGGGTAGTGTAAAGTTAAGTGGCGTGTAAGGGTGCGCTACTGGATCTACAGCCGCACCAAGCCTCACCCGCTTTACCGCGTCGGGTACGCTTAAATTACCTGCCTTTGCGCCCTCGTGTAATCTTGCTCAGTTTTACCGGTGGCAGGGCGCCTTTGAAACACGCCCCTATACGCCAGGATCCTGTGGTCGGCGATGTCTGGTAGGCTAGATAGATAGGGCTCCGCTTGCTTGCCTGCTTCCGGGGGTCATTTAAGATCGACAGACAGCATTTCCCGGGACCGAGGAGGGGTCCAAATGTGTGATTGTGATAGGTTGCAATTTCAAAGCGAGTGATGGGGGAGAGGGGAGGCACGGCAAGGGGAGGCACAGCACTGCTCCATTTCGCCGTAGAATCAAAATTCTGGAAGCTTAGCTAGCGTCTTTCGGTCGTGGCCCATCTTCCAGAACAATCTGGTAGTTATTGTAGAACCCGATTTTGCAGGCTTGTGAGAATAGGAGAATTATAAGATAGTTGGAATATCATGCGCGATCGGAGCCCGCCGGTGGCTATTCGGACTACGGCTAACGTAGCTAAGTGTTAGTCCCAAAAAGAGGGCAAATTACCAGATTCGGGCATGTTGCCAGAGTGGTTAATGGGTGAGACTTGAATTCAATCGAATTAAGCCATCTCATGACTTCGGTCGCGTAGGTTCAAATCCTGCACATGTCGATTTCTTTTTTCCCTTCTTTTTGTCCTCGAATCCTGTAATTGCCACAATGGTGCATTGACGGTGCAAATTATTAATTTTCTTCTTTTATTTGTCCCTACCAACGACAGCCTGCCGCACAAACGACTTGACATACACTCGTCTATATCACTGATGTACTCCGGGCTACTCTGTTCGAAAAACTATGTCGGATGATATTGTGGCGTGTGCAAAGGAGGAAAGAGGAAAATAAACCTGCGAACAGTCTGTCATTCAAGGTCGTACAAACTATGTTGAACCATGGGCAAGTTTCATGATGGCCGAGTACAGGGTAACGACCGTGCGTTGTCTGCTACTCTCATGCCTGAAGACCCTGGCCTTGTATTCGAAAGCATATATACCTATACGTTTATAAGACTAGTCTGCTGGGCGTCCCTGTCGATAAGTCGGATTTAACCCTTGTTTAAGGCACTTGAGACCTCTCATACGCATTGTATATCCGCAGGCCGCCGATCTTCCAAGGTTCGATGTGCAAGAAGAATTGCAGCACAGCATCAACGGGCCCCAGAGTGTAATATACTTTTAGTAGGTATATAGAAACCGGTAAGTTCCATTGATGGGTCTACTATTTGACATTACTAAGATTGAGTAAGCAAAAAGAACAAGGTAAAAGAATAAACGAGGTTGAGTATCTTTGAATGACTCGGGGCTTTTTCCATAGCCGACGAAGCCACCTACTGGTACGTGATGCTTGACGGCTAAAACAATAAGTCCTATACGTTCTCGAGTTGCGTAATACCACTCGAAACAAGTTATGCGTCCATAGCCAACCCCCATGATCTTCTATATGCCATGGATATTGCAGTTCCACGATCCTCCGTCTTCGTTTGAAAGTACTTACCACGGCCCTACATTAGTGTCTTTAACACCACGGCTGTTAATTGATCAACAAAATATATTCTTCGGCAAATTTTTGAAGAAGCTAAGCGTGGCTCTGCTAACAAGTTGGTTTTTGATCTCGCGAGCTTACGTTTCATACGATTAAAATCCTGTCACAGTTTCTCGGCCGGCTTCGAACGGGTAATTTTTCAACTTTGCCGGCGTGTTTCCGTTGTCTACTAATTATTCGGTGCTTGGGTACCTAGTTTGCATCTACGGTATTACCGAGTTTCGTCTCTGTTAGGTTGGTTAGCTACACGACGAGAGGGTTCGTGAGCTAGGTATATGAGGCTGTTCGCTTTACATGGGTTAAAGTCTATATTGGTTAGGTTTGTCTGCTGGCCTTAATTCAACGAGAATTAACAACGTCCTGTCCACTTCAAGCCTCTACGAGAGGCGATATACCTCCGACTGTTTACAGTTGATGTGGATCTATAGCAATATCGTATTTAGTACGCATCTAAGAACGCATCTATCTTCTTATCGCTTTATGGGGTAGTCTACCGTACCAAGGAATACACCAATTCTTTTCGGGAAAAGAACCCTAAATAAGAATCCCTCTATGCTTTATAGACGTATTATATATCGCGGAACCATCGGGACGAAATCCACCCTTAGCCCAGCAAGTCCACCTACAACTTCGCGCTCTCCTTGTCATCAGCCGCAATCTCAATCACCAGCTTCCCAAACTGCCTCCCCTCGCGGATCTCCTCGTACAACTCCTCAATCTCTTTCATGTTATCCAGGCCCTTGACCACGCGGCTCACGACGGGGCGGATCTTGTGTTCCCTCACAAACGCGACCATATCCCTGAACTCCTGGCGAGACCCCATCGTCGAGCCGCGGAGCTCGACGTTCTTTATCACCGCGACCATGAGCCAGTCCATCTTTGGAGAGACCGTCATGCCGTAGCTCGACACGATGCCGCCGTGCTTGAGGAGGCGCACTACGCGTGCCACTGTGTTGCTCAAGTCAGCGCAATCTGTGGGGTTTCGACGCAAGAAAAGGTTCTAGGACATGCTTTTCGTGGGAAAAGGAAGACTATATACACTAGGAAATTTTGGGGGGGAAGAGGCGAGAAAAAGAGGATTCCGGGAATTTCTTACTGATGTCGCCACCCGCACCGTCGACGACGGCATCGAGGTACGGCCTGGACTTCGGCAGGAGAGCCGCGAGCTGCTTGTCCCAGTCCGCATCACGGTACGACACGCCGCCCTTAGCGCCGAGTTCCTTCGCGCGCTCAAGCTTAGCCGGAGACCCCGAGGTCACATACGTGTTGCACCCCAGCGCGACAGCGAACTGCAGCACGGCAAGCGCGACGCCGCCACCGATGCCCGTGACGAGGATATTGCGGCCGGGGAGGGCGTTGCCGCTCTTCGTGATGAGGGCGCGCCAGGCCGTCAGGCCCACGAGCGGGAGCGCCGCGGCCTCCGCCGTCGAGAGGTAGTCCGGCGCGACCTCGACCTCGCCCTCCGGCACGACGACGTAGTCCTGCGCCGTGCCGCAGTCCGTGCCCGTGTGGCCGCCAATGGTGAAGAACGTGCCCTCGGGGCCCTCGAGCGCCGAGTCCCAGCCCCGCGACGGCGTCACGAGCACCCGCTTGCCCACGAGCGAGGACCCCGTCTTCGTGTCTGGGCCCGCGGACTCTACGACGCCGCACCCATCGCCCAGGAGCGGGTGCTCGAAGGAAATGCCGGGGTACAGGTGCTGCCGCTGGAAATGGTCCCTGTGGTTCAGCGCCGCGGCCTGCAGGCGGATGAGCAGCTCGCCGGGCCCGGCGGCGGGTTTCGGGTTATAGTTGAGCTGGAGGCTGGATATGATGATGTTGAGTGAGCATATGTCAAATTTGATGAATTCTGGGAAAGGGATGGAAATAGAAGGCCCCAAAACTGAAATCCATCAACTACCTATGAACGAAGACGTGCGTGCGACGTGGGTGAATGAGATGACATAGATATAAACTCGTGAATCCTAAATAAAGAATCACCTACGGATAGTATACTTGGCCGGGCTTGCCGTCAATTTTCTTGAGCGTGAGAGACCGAGACATGACGACGATGACGGTGATAATGGTGATGATAGATGGGCTAGTGACTTCACAATCTACTCCTTTGATCCGACGCAACTCGGCTCCCTAAATCTTACCACTCTAGATACTTCCTTTTCGGTCTGTACAATACATTAAAGGGGGAGGGGAGAACGGCTCGTCATATATTGACCGACCGACTTACTAATTTGTGGTTCCCCGCGTCCGGGGAAGCGCCCACGTCGCTTGAGGTACCTATCTATCTACCTACATATGTACCTTAGGTAGGTAGATACCTATCTAGGTACCTAGGGTATGTAATAGGTGTATCTCTAATCTTTACTATGTACCTACATACATGTAGTAATGTAATGCCCCTAATCGGACAGACCCCACTAAAGGTACCGAATTGGACCTCGGCTTGCCGACAACGGAAACTGCCCCGGGACGCCGTGACCCGAGGGTCGCTTTTGACAGACGTTGTTAAATGTATGGTGCTCTTCTTTCGACACCTCGTCACGCATCCTGACGGCTTATTTAATTAAATCTGGTTTCGGGGATACTAATCGACGGAAATTTCGCAACTTGTAGATAAGCCCCGGGCAAAGGAGACCGAAGGGAAGGTAGTTTATTTAGTCTTGCGAGGTGCGGGGGAACTCTGCCATCGGAATGTTTACGGATGCGAAGAACGGGAACGGAGAACGCGAACGGGTGGTTTTTACAAGTTCAATTTCGTAATTGGCCGGATACTGTAGTCTCAACTGCCACGCGCGGGTTGGCTTTTCCGAAGGCCGACGAACTGGACTGTCGACGTTGTTCAATATAGTACAGGTGACACTGATTGCCTAATTCAATCTCTGCAACTCAGGCGGCTTGCTACTCCCTACGGAGTCTTGGCCATCGAAATGTCCGCTAGGAGCTTCGCAAGCGGCTTCTTTCCGATCCTGGTCCTGATCCTGGCCCTGACCCTAACCCTGACCCTGACCTGCCATTCCGCCTTGCTGCCCAGCGAACCTAGCTTCTATTCCTTACAAAGGCCAGTAGAATAGTTCCTGCCTCACCCGAACGCCGACCTCGTGTCCCGTCATTATACGGCCACTGTTGAACCCTGGTTGTTACGATATGCATGGTAAGGTACCTGAGGAAATCTGCAGAATATTCAGTATTCAGTCATCGCCTCCTAGATCTCCAGTCTTTGTAGTGGATGATAGGCTAATGGCAATCTTTTTCGGCCCTCCTCCAGAGTCTCGGGTACTGGTCACCACCTTTTTCTTTCGCAAGGGGCTCAAAGTATTAGCCGATGCATTAGACCCTGCCGATGTGCTGTTTCGACGCTTGTGCTGTACCATTTTACTGAGATCGTCCTCTTCGTCCTCCTCACGGCGGCGCTTCTCCGATACTCGTTCTGGTGGCGGCACCGCCGCCATTGGCGTTTCATCTGCCTTCTTGGTTCTCTCGCCTGGCTTGTCTTCGTCAGCCGAAATGGCGCCCGCCTCGATGTTTTCGTCCAAGTCTTCATCTGAGGCATAGTCAACCAAGAGCTTTGCACTTGGTGATTCGCCATTCGTGGACAACGTTCGGTCGCCGGGCTTCACTTGTAGGTCCTCTTCATCATCCGAAGTATTCCAGTATTCTTCCTGAGCTTCATCCATCGTCAAGTGCTCCATGGGGTTCCTCAGTGGGGGTGGCCGGTTACGCCTACGGTCACGAGAAGGATCCTCTTCAGACTCCATGAAATAATCCATATTGGCCGTAAATCCTGCTGTTTGATCATACCGAACGATCAACGTCCTGAAAAGCTCCATGTAGGATAGACTTTGTAACTTTTCTCGGCAATTCTCCACCAGGTGCTTCACGAGTTCTTTGATGCTTTCTTTTTTTACATGCTCAAAGAGCTCCAAGCAAGCAGAACTTATCAAGTTATCGCGTGGCATAGTCTTGATGAGTAGGTCAAGTACCGGTTCGATGACCCTTTTCTCCGACAAATGCTTGATATAAAACTCATCCTGTGAGCCAACAAGTTGACGAAGGAAACGGACCGCAACTGTATACGATTAA